AAATTTGAATCTCATTTATGGTTTGGGAACAGTGCCAACAAATTTAAGATATGTTGCTCCAAAGCTACACACTTTGTTTTTAAAGGATGTTTTTTCCAATGATATGCAAGTGGATCTTAAAAGTTTACGAGTTTTGAGTTTTGTTGGTATTGAAGAATTGCCACCGTGTTTTAGTAACATGAAGAATCTGAGGTATCTGGACATTTCAAGAACTCGGATGACAAAATTGCCAAAGTTGATCCCCAAGCTATACAAATTGCAAACATTTAGATTCATGACTTGCAGATCCAAAAGAATCCAATGGCTAATATCACAAAAGGAAGTGCTCCGGCAACACTTCCAATTATGGTTGCTATCTTTGACATCTCCTTCTTTGAACTTTAACATTGAAACTGTGATGTTGAAGAACATGAAATATCACATAAAAAAATTTGGACAAGCTTTATTAATGAAAGGATGCAGAATAATACATAAACAATCATGGTTTTTCAAGTGTGGTGTCTAAAGTGTGATGATTGTGGATCAAATTTTCAAATTGATTTTACGGTTTAAGTGTTCTGATGTTTTTGGTTGGTTTTGTCAAGTTTATCTTGGTTTGGACAATTCTGTTTCCTTCGTTTATGGCTTAGTTAGTAAGGTAAAAAGCAGAAATAATCTAAATATATGCTATGTTTTGTCACTGGTTTTTCTCTTTATTTTTGCTTTGTTAAGAGGAGGGGATGATATGAATGTTTACCATGCTTTGTAACTAAGCATCTACTTGGGTTTTTGACACCAGTCAAGGAAAGAGTAAGACCAACCTTCAGATTTTCCACTTATCAAAAAATAAGAGTGACATTGTATCATCCTGAGCACACAGTCTTCTGATAGCCTGTTTTTTACTGAATATTGCAACATTCCTTGCTAACCAAATTGATCAAACAAATGCATACCAGACTACCTGCCATCCCTTTTTGTTCCTTGCCGTCCACAAATGTTGAATGAAAGCTTCCCTACAATTATTGTGCAGAACATAACAGATTCCCCACCATTCAAAGCATTTTGTCCATATTTTGTAGGAAAAATCACACTGCATCATTAAGTGATTTGCATCTTCAATCATATCATCACAAAACACGCACCTTGCATCCATAACATCTTTGATTACTTTTCTTCTCAATAGGTTATCTTTACTTGAGATCCGTTCTTGCAACAGCCTCCAACCAAGGTGCAGACCTCGTTTGGCACCAAATTGTTCCAGCATTTCTTAAGAAATTTTGCTCCATTGTTTATCTCACTAGGTGATAGTAGCTTGTAAGCTGATCTTACAGAGTAGTGCCCATCTTTTTCATGAATCCAACACCAACTATCCTCCTTTGCCATTAGTGGTTGATTGAGACTTAGTACATGTTGTAAGTACTCCACTTGACTTTCCTCCTATGTGTGTAGTTCCCTTCTCCAACGTAAAATTCCAACTCCATACGTTTTCAGTCCAGTGGCCCATTTGTTGTACGAAGCTCCATTTATCTATACTCAAAGAAAAAAATTTTGGAAACAAGTCCCTTAAACTGTAATCACCAGTCCACTTATCTAACCAAAATGATACATTTTTGCCCTCATCTAACTTGATTTTAAACCCTTCATTAAGCCAACCCACTTT